CTGCCCTCAAGTTATAACCAAATCCAGCAGCTGTACAGGCTTGTGCCTGGGAACCATCTGACAGCAGCCACTCCCAGAGGCAGGGTACACATGGCCGTGCGTTTGATCCACCATCCCTACACATCTGGGAAACAAGAAGAGCAAGTCAAAAATCATCCAACATGCAGGGTTCTAGGTAAGACCCAGCAAGGGTAGAGCAGGTGGAGCCTGCCTGCAGGGTGTAACTGGGGCTACACCGGGTCACACTGAGTGGACTCGTGTCTTGGGTGGATGTGGTGGCACCCCCAAAGCCAACCCTGTCAGGTCCTAACACCAATAATGCCTAACGCAGGAATGCAGCTCGCTCAGACCCATCCCATGAGACCTAGAAAAGCAGAAAGGCTGAAGGAGCTTTCAGAAAACACCTACTGCAGCCAGCAGAGAAGCTGCAAATGCAACGTGGGGATCTTGAACCCTTGTTCTCAATCCCTGGGACGCCAGCCACACCGGGGCAGCGGAAATCCTGCCCCGTGTATGCTGAGGAGCCATAACCAAACTTGTGAGCATTCGGGAGGTTATAGATGCACAAGTCTGGGCCACTGCCACCTGCAAAATCCTGGAGGTACCGATAAAAGATTACAAACCATCTGGAAAAACATGGGCTGATGAAAACTACTTTGCTTAGCTCCATGAAAGCTGAAGTGCCTGACAAATACGGTGGCTTTTTTTTTTTTTCCCCCTGAGAAAAAGATCTACTGGATTAAGAAGATTAAAGTGACTAACATGACATAAAGGAAGGCTTCAAATTTCTTAAGGTATGGCAGAGATGTGAATCTGAGCAAAGTGGTTCAACCTAAGCAGGAACTGAACCAAACCATGAGCCCCAAAGTGAAACAAGCTGAAATAAATGAACTTTTGTGGTTTCAGATGCCTTCTCTCTGCCCCAGTTTAAATCCCGTCTCTGAAGTGTTACTTCCAAAAGATTCGCTTATGTACATACACACATGCATCTGGTAAGCTGTTGTAGCTTCTCTGTTCTTCAAAACACCCTCAACTTGACCATTTTCTAAGATATTCTGGCCAACAGCCCAGTCTTAACCCTGCTTCTGATGTAGGATCATCACCCAATTCACAACTTTCCTCTGCCTGAAGCACACGCAGCCAAAAATAGTAAATACTAGATGAGATAACAGAGCTGAGGACACGCCAATTTCTCAATGTGTATAGGAGGCGTCTTCAAACCGTTGCAGACAGATCATGGATCCACCCTGATTAGTTCTTAACCTGTATCCCTTCACAGCTGTAAAATCTAACACTTCAGTTAATATAACCGAAGTTTTGACATGGAGCATAATTTAAATAAGCTTATAAATCAACAAGGAAACTGAAAAAAACACACCTTGTAAAGCAAAATTATTTTGTGAGGGCTAAGACCTACACAGCAAATGTCTGACTCAATAGCAAAAAAGAAAATTTGCAAATCCCAGGCAGAGTTTTGGGGCAGAAGATGCGGTCAAAGAGATGCAGGGGACCTGGAGCAGTCACGGGCTCTGCCCCCTTACCCACGCTCAGAGCCGAGTGCCTGTGGCACCGGGAGCTGGAGCAGCAGTACGGCTGGCTGATGGTGTAAGGCAAGCTTTGGAAGAAAGAAAATCTTAACGTTAAATCAACTGATCTATGTGGAAAAAACAGAAATATTTTAGGGAGCACCAACGCTTCTTCAAATGTGTCAGACTTTGCAGCCTCAGCTTTCCAGGTTTCTTTAATGTGCTTTTAGCCTCCACAACCTCCTCTGCCGACACAAGCCAGAGAGATTTTTCTACTCTTTTAAGATTAAACTTTTTTATTTTTTATTATTTCTTGCCTTGTCCATCATGGGCCGTTCCCATAACTGTCTTGCACGTAGCTAAAAATTATCAAGTCCTCCTTCAGTTTTCTCCTACTTTGGTTAAGAAACCAAATTTTCTCAATTTTCCTCCTTTTGAGGGATGTTGGAATGACAATTCTGATTTGAGTCCCACCTACTCCTTATCTTGGTATTATCTCGCAAAGGGCAAGTAAAATAGCTGTAAGCGAGGAGTGCAAGAGCAGAACAAGCACACAGCAAGCATCTCCCTCCTGCTCTCCCAGTACCCCCATGTGGGTCTCCGGCGTTTCCAGCATCAGGGGTGGTATTATTTTGATAACCCTTGAACAGCTCTAATCCATGAATTTGCCTAATCCCTTGTGAACCCAGGTACCCTTTCAGCACACTTAATGCACTGTAGCAATCGGTTCTGCCATTTAATTACATGTACCTAATTATGTGTTAAGAGGTGCCTATTTTGTGTATTTTGAATTTGCTTCCTGACAACTTCGTTACGTGCTCTCTAGTGCCGGTATTAGGACAGACAGTGAGCCACCGCTTCCAATTAATCTTCTCAGTCGTTCATGATATTGCAAATCTCTATCAGCTGTCTCTTCCTCCAACTGTGGAGTCCAAGACCATTTTTCTTCATATGCAGGTCTGATTATCCTCATACTCCTGCTACCAGTCTCCTTTGTCCTTCAAGATCCAGGCTCCAGTTAACGCAGACAATAATAACATTATGACGTCATTTGATATATCTATTTTTCCAAATAATTCTTCTATTGTCCATTTGGGTTTTTTGTCAGCTGCTGAGCACGGAACTGAATGTCCTCTGTCTTTCTGCAAGGCAGTTTGGAAAACCTTCAACAGCCTTTTGCTTTCATTCCCACTACTCCTGGTATTAGTGTCCCCATACGTGGCAGAAGCTGTACACGTTTGTTCTGGATGTACCCATAGGTGCACAAGCTTCTTCTGTCCTCACCATCCTTCCAGGCCATCCCAGTCTCAGCTTTAAGCAATAAGGAATTTACCAGTTCACAGTCTGCCCAGAGGTTAGCCGTGGTCGGCATTAGAAATGCGAGCAGGGGGTTGAATTCCAAGTGAACAGAATTTGGCCCGGCGTTACTCGGCAGTTCTTAGGAGTGACGTTAGTGCTCTCGGCCTGTGTGCCAGCTGAAAGCCCGGGAAAGGTGTGACCGATGAAAGGGTACGTGGGGAAACTTGCACTCCCGGTCATGAGCACGCTGCAGTGCTATTTTCTTGCAACACAGTTTGCCATTGCTCCCTTCGAGTACTCTGTTCCATGGGAGATTTGAGTGCCTATCTTTTAATATTTTCCAGGTTTTATATATTGAATTTCCAGTTCAAGAAAATCCTACATAACCAACACAAAATTAGCCACCTATGTATATTAATATTTTCTAACATTTTTTCACTATTTTCTAAATACTTGAAATGTAAACCAGATACATTTGAATGGGCCTTTATAGTGTGCAGGAATCACAGAAGTCCAATAACTGCAAGGTTTTTGATGGAATGGTTTATGTCATATCTGAAATATTAACAAAGCTGTCCCCTGTGTAATGAGCCAGACTGCAATTCTTCAACGTATTTAGAATGAGTCACATAAATCTCCTGTTCTGCACATATGTCCCTACTCAAAGAATTTCCCTAAGAATGCTAGTTGAGGATTTTCAGGAAATTACAATAGTTTGAATGAATTTAGAAATAGTCACATGCTTAGAACATATCATAATAGGTACTTCAGAAAGCAAGCTGAGCAATACATCTAAAAATATTCAACATATTCTATTTGATTAACGCAAGGTCACAGCATTCAGCACTTCAAAAGCCAGATTGTTCACTCATGCTTCCACTGCAATTTTATGAACAAAAGTTGTATCATTAATTCTACCAAATATTTCACATAGTAAACCTGGAATTTAAGCTATTTAGAAAATTCTTCAGAAACATAAATTTTTAAAATATATATAGTTCTATCCCTTTTATGAGTGGAAACAGCTTTTCAATTTATTGACCACTGAAAAAGTATACAAGTATTTTATCAAGAAAAGTTGGTATCTGATGGACCTGAAGTTACGTAGCATTAGAAGGTGATGTTTTAAGTGGCTGCAAATTAATTTATTGAGTCAGCTGTTCTTTGGAATCAACATGGCCCATTGAAGGGTTGGGCCATCAATCACTCATGACCACCAGTAAGCGGTTAGGTGCACACAAATTCACGTTAGAGGAAGCAACTGCAGCTCAGGACCAGCCCGAGGCTCACAACCCAGCCTGAAGTATTTATTGCCTTCAAAGAAGAGTATCAAAGACCCATCTCGCCGTGTATCGCCCATCTCCCCCGCAGTCCCACACAACCAGCTTTCTTGCACTTGAAAACAAATACCCACGCCCTCGATGAAAGCAGAAAACATGGAACAATCCCAGGGAAGTGGTGAGATAGGATCCAAGCCAACCCGAAGCACTGGGGATCTTATTTTGTTGCACCTTCAAGGAGCTTTGTGCTGACCTGAGGGTCCTGACCTGCTTCATTCCTGGTATGTCTTCTAAGTCAACTGATTTAATATCATGATAATGAGGACGGAGACACAGATCTTCTCCAGACCAACTCAGCAAGTCAAGGAGAAGGCTTAAGTATGAGGATGTGCCTATCCATACGCCTGCGTGGCCGAGTCTCACCCGTGGCACACGCGCTCTGTTGCACCCAACGCCCCACGACCGTGAACGCGGCGCCGTAACGTACAGCCTGGAGGCGGGTGACGTTCCCCTCGCCTGCCTGCCCCCCAGATGTGCCCAGAGGTGCTGCCAGCCCCAGCCAACAGCCACGCCTCTTCAGCTCAGTGTGACAGTCCTGCCCTTTTCCAGAGAGCTCGGGGTTCGCTCCCCGTGCCAGCCCAAAGGCAGCCCTCACCTTAACCTTTGGGGAGCCTGGCACGGGTGAGGGCTGCACTATATCCCCGAGGGAAAACAACAACGGTCCTGGAAGATTTCAAAACGCTGCAATTCATCAATGACGTTATTTTATAAAATTATTCCTCCCCACCCATGAGTTCTGTGCTAGAGGATCTTTGCTACCCATTTGCTTGAACCCCGGGAGGACTTTCAGTGTAGTGCTGAGGTTCTCATAAGCGAAAAGGCTCAGACCTCTTACCTTCAATAACACACTGATCAGGGACAGGAATTTTCCTCCCCATCTCGGTGACATATGCTTTCACTTTACCCAGGTTTTCCTTCAAGTGCAAGTAGAGCTTGTCCTGGTATTCCACGGGGCTCATCACTGCCTCTGTGCTTCCTTCGAGGGCCTTTTCTTTCGTAGTTTCTGACAAATTTGCAGATTCTGGGTAATCGATACTTTGGTGTGAAACCAAAGTATTTCCCAGTTGCATTGCTTCATGATCAACACTAAAAGGCAATTTGTCATTTTCTTGGCTAACGTAGATCTCGGTGAAGGAGATGCCAGCAGTTATCTCCCCGTTCTCCTCGTCCTGTCCACTCTCCGAGTGTACCCCCTTCACGCGGACTGCATGCAAAGCGAGGCTTTTGGATCTGGAAGGTGATTAAGGAAAGGAAAAATGTTTTGGAATAGAGACAAGACACAAAAATCACCTGAACACATGCTCTTCTGAGCTACCTCTGTGCAGCTGGTTCAGAGAGCCGAGTGTGGGGCTCGCTTAGCCTGAGGCAAGTATCTTTTGGTAAATATGCATTTCATAAGCAAAACCCAAGCCACAACTTTAATAAGCAAATGAAACTAAATAATATCCTTATATCACAACATCTGCATGCCACGGAGGGAGCTAGTCAACTTATCTGCAAGAAACTTATAACCCCAGGACTGGAGTACAGGCTTTATTGATCACATCATAAAAATGCCATCCAGCAGCCATTTCACTGAGCCAAGGTTCAGGCTCCAGTTCTCACTGCCCCGTACCTATACACCGAGGATGAAGTTAAGCCTCAGTAAGAGGAAGAAGGACAGAACTGAAGTCACTGAAAGGGCAAATTCTGGAAGAGAAAACCTCTGCCGTGAAGCTGCGGTGCATGGGCAGCCTGAGGGCACCGTGGGTGCACGATGCTGTCTGAGCCTTCATCTCACCCAGGGTCCCCGGAGAGTCGCCCTCATCGCACACGGCACACAGGCAAAATTCAGTTCAAACACGTGATATGTATTGTCAGCAACAATACTCGAGAACTGTCTCTGTATCCTCCATTCTAGTAATATCTGTATGCAAATATTTTCCTCTCCCTTGTGCTGTTTTGGGGCACAGAAGAGATCAAATAAATAATTTAGGTTTTATCCAGCCTTTGAACTCATGAATATGAGGCCTGGTTAAAATTAGACTTACAATGCCCATAGGCATCATGCAAATGGATCAAATTCTCACTGTTTGGATAAAGTTTTATTGCAAAAATGATATTCATGAAAACCACTCACACTTTTTACAGAGCCATACCTGTTAAATCTCATATCCTTCCTTTCTTCTTTAGAAACCTGGCCTAAACTGTATCTCCGCACTGAGCCAGGAGTACTGTTGTCAACATTTATTTTCTCTTCAAAAGCCTGTATTTTAACTTGAAGCTTTTCATCTTCTTCATTTCCACTCATAACAGATTTTAAATCATCCAGTGGTACAGGAGATTCTGTTTCAGTATCATTTTCCATTCTAAGGAAGTAGAAAGCAGAGAATTAACTCTGGCATGCTGTGCTCATAGTGATGCTGATGCTGCATTCCTGCCTGTGACCTGTATTAAGTATCTGGTAAAATAATTATGTTTCAGCAGAGGTTCTCTCAGAGGTTGATTAATCATTTTCAGAAACATCTTCTGGATCGATGTCTCTGTCAGATGGACCAGAAACACTGAACATTTCTGACAACACTGGATTAGAAACTGCATGTGCTATATCTTGCATAAGCAAACCCCAACTCTTCCCCTGATAGTCCCATACAAAAATTTTTCAGCTGAATTTAAACTATTCTCAAGCTTGCTAAACGGTGACTTCTTACGTTATTTTCATAACCCAAAAGTCAAGCTAATTGCGGAGTTTACAGAAGTCTGTGGTTTTAAAGGTTTGACGAAAGTACATGCAGTTCCTACCAAATTATTGTACTCTGAGTAAGAAAAGTATCTTTTAGAACTCAGCACAGGGACAAGAATAGGCTCAGGAAAAGCTCTAAACAATGTGACTGAAGTTCAGTAAAAGAGAAAGAGAAAATTAAGAGTTAAAACGACTTTGTCGGACTGCAGGGGAAGCTGGTTTATTTTAAATTTGATTGTTATGTCAGTCTTAGGCTATGTGACCTCTTAATGCAAAATTCAAAGATAACTTTAAAATAAATTGAAGGGAAGCTGTTAATCTTAAAGGACAAAAAGAAATTTGCTGGCAAATATACTGCTGGCAAACATTTGCGTTCTAGTGATGAAAATATCCTCTGACCAGTGAAAAAAAACCTTTGCTGGAGGCCCAGCAGCGCTGGGGCAGGGGCGGCAAATGCCACCAGCCAAAGGCCCAGGGCACAGCCAGGCACACAGATGTCTCGCCCTGCTCCAAGCGCAGCCACTTCCATGCCCAAATGCAGGTTTCCTAGATTAAGGTTTTTCAGGCCGGATTCCCCAAAACAGGGCTTCTGAACATGGAGCTCGCTGGGTTGCTGTGCAGCCCGCAGCGAGACTCAGCTCTCCCGAATATTGGGCCATCTGCCAGGAATCTAAACCTTGGGTGTCTGGTCTCTCCCTCGAAGATGTGGCTTGGCCTTTGTGCAGCAGCAGCAGGACTGAACTTCCCAGGGGACCAGCAGCACACCGTGCCAAAAGCACTGTTGCCCCTTGCTCCCCCCTTCAGGGAGGTGCCTTCTCCTGGGGATTTATATGTTCCCATCTCACTCCTGCAACTATGGAGTAACTGGGCCAAGAAATCATGAAGGCAGCACAAGGACAATCAGAAATCTCCTAGAGAATCGAGGGGTATTTGACAGGATTTGCTTTATAAACTCTACCCACAGCTCCAAAACAAGCTCATTTTATTTCTGACCATTACTTTATTTTTTTTTTTTCCCCTGACGAGCAAACATCTGAATAGCTAAATCTGTAAAATATGGATATGGAAAGCCACAAATGAGAGTTTTAACACAGGACTATCAAAGCAGCAGTCTCAACAAGTCATGCTCACAGTCAGAAAGCCTATTAAAAACTCTCAAATACTGCAAATTACCAATTGTGGAAACAAAAAAGCATGTTTAAAAAAACCCAACCACTAATACTGCATCACAAAATCCACTTTTTCATTTGTTTTGATAAAGGCAGTTCAGGATACTTCTCAGGGGAGTTGGCAAGCTTTGTCTTGTTTTGTTTTTAATTTAGGCAAGATCTCATAATATATTAACACTGCAGACCACTTTGAAAAAAAATATTCTTCTGTAATAAAGAACCTTGGTATGACCTTTACTAACAAATCTTTCTGGAGATGTGGGACAAGATTTAATTTATTAGAAAGCTGTCACTCCAACATAACCCTCAACACTGCTCCCATTGTGGGAACTAAGCACTAAGAAAAATGTCCGTTACATACGTAAATACATGTAAAGCCCTCTGGCTACAGAGTGGGGATTGATGGACTGATGGGCTTTATGAATGACAGACCCAAAGCAACAAGCCTTGCTGATGTTTGGAAATAAAAATGGCCTTTTATAACAGCACCTTTTTGTCCAGCATTTTCCCGTTGAGCTCTGATGGCTTTGTGAAGGAAACACAAGAAAATGCTTCTGCTAAAGAAACACGTGAATGAACCCTATCCACCGTACGTAAAGCAGCAGTAAGTTAGTGCATACGGGGCTCATCGCTGCCTGGTGCTCCTCAAGTTTTGACCCCCTTGGGGTCCCCAGGGGATCACTTGCTCTCACATGTACCCGCTTCGCGCTCGCATCAATTCCCGGGAAGCCAAAAGCACATACCCCAAGCAAAACGTTCAATGAAGCCTCCACCCCACGCCCAACGGGACGCCTGGCAGGTCTTCCTGCTGGCCTCCCCTTCCAGCAACAGTAAAATAAACTATTGTTTGAAATCTTGGCAAGAGGCATTCGGTACATTGCTGAGGTTGCTGGAGCAGGATCAGCTTACACCAAAGCTCAGGCTGTTTTCAAGAGAAAAAGGATGCACAAACCTATCGAGAGATCATAAGGATCTGGCTTGCAAAGCCAGTATTAGGCTACTCATGGTTTCGCTGTTTTAAATTCTCTGTAGAAAGAGGCTTAAATACACAGGTCAGCAAGTCAAGAGCGATACATTCATTTCAAGGGCATTTCTCCAGACCACCAGCACCATTATCAATATCACCAGCCAGGTGCTTAAAATGGGAAAAGGAGCATACACAAATAGAAATTGCTAAAAATACACTCGAGGCGGGATTGCTTCCAGGGCTTCAACTCTGCGCGGACGGAGGCAACGCGACCGGATCGAGTGCAGGTCCTTGTGGCTCATCAGCATACAGACATAACCACCTCCTTGGATACCACGGGCATGCAGGTTTGAGGAAGGGAAGGGGTGGATAGCAGTGGTGATCTCAAACCTTCTGCCTCACGGTTGGGAAGCCCAGCAAGAGCTTCCAAACGTTCTAAGGAATGGTGGTGGAAACATCACCAGCTAGATGCTGTTCAAGGCTGAGGCCCACAAGGAGCTGCAGGCTGCATCCTCCGGCCCTTCAGACACAGGCCCTGCATTCACAGGTACTAATGGGGGAGGCCAGAACATTCTAGTAGTTGATTTTAACAGGGTGCAGGCAGTGGCATGTGCTGCCTGCGGGGCAGTTGCTCCCAGGGCCAGGCAGGATGCAGAGTGGTAAGGGGAGTGGATGCTTCTTGGCACCCACACTGCATTAAAATCACACCACAGTCCCTTACCAACACGTCTTCGATGCTCTTACAGCCCTCTTCACTCCAAATGTTGATTTAAAGAAGGACAAATAGAGTAGAAAATGGAAGGCAAATGAATGGTGAAGGAGTGATGTCATGTGCTAGACCTATCCTCTCCTTTAAAGGAGGAAAGATAATTTCACCCAGCCACTACACTGAGTGGTACTGGTATAGCCTGTTCTGCTCAGTTCTTACCCAGAATGAGGGCTTGGAAGCATCATTAAATTTATTTCTTCCCTTCCCTTCAGTTGACTGTGCTATACTTCTAGGTTGGATCAGTCCATTAAAACTCTGTATGCATTCTTAAAAAAGCACCTCTGAGACTGAATAACTTGCAGTTTTGTGACAGTAACGGGCAACAGAGCATCGCATGGTTTTAATTATGCTCTCCACTAGCTGCATGTAAAATTCCCTGTGTCAAACAACTCCAAGCCAGCCATCGCTCTAAAGAAATCCATTTCTTCTTATGTAAACACACAATTCTGGAAGGAATGGTTATAATCCAGCCACACATTTAAAAATCTTGTTTCCCTTTCACAGCACAAAGGCTCTGGATTGTTGCTCTTTAAAAAAAAACGCTGCAGTTCAGTAAGAGCAGCAGCTCTGGAGCGAGGAGGGCATTTCCACGTCGATGTCTGGGCCAATCCCACTCACGCTACTACAAGTCAGAATAAACACTGCTTAAATCAGCGGAACACTCTCACTTTAGGCTTAATTGCTGCACCAAACTTGTCCAATTTAGCTGATGCTCTGCTTGATGCCAGCCTGAGCTATAAAACCCAATACCTAAAAAGCGTAATACAGAAAAATCAGTGTTTCGGTGTGATCTCTTATAGCCACGTTGAGATAACAAGATGATGGCAGCTGCAAGCAACTGCTGTCACAGAGGATTTGGGGTGGTGGAGATACAATAAAAAAGTTTTTAAAAAAAAGTAAATCAAGCAGCAGATGGAGAATAAGAAATCATTTCAGTAAGGTTTGTTTGAAAGGGTCCAGGCCCTGAGGCTGGCTCGAGACAGCTGTGTGCGGGGCAGAGCCCAGAGCAGCAGACGTGTCCCAAGAGACTGTTCCTTACCCAGAGGAGCATCAGGAACAGGCTTTTGCATCCCATCGCTTCTGGCTACTCTCACACCCACCTTGTGGCGAGCACGGCTGCATCCCAGGGGCTGTCCCGTCTTATGAAAGCAGCAATTTATCCAGAGAAATGTTAAAATCTACTAAGAACAAAATAAACAGCGTGGAGGAATGTCTATTTTAAGTTCCTTCCACTGCAGACACGGGCCAAACTCTGCCCATCCTTAAAGCAGACTAAACCCTGAGCAGCTCCTCTGCAGCCCTGGGGTAAGGTGGGTGTATTTTCATGGCCTGCCCCCACATATTGCCCTCCAGAGCCTGGCCCCATGGCAACTTCCACACTCCAAAGAGAGCAGTTACATGTTCAGTCACTTACACACACAGCTGCATTCAAACTTGTCACTTGGAAGCAAATACAACTTAAACAAGCGAGTAACCAAAGCCTTCCCCTTTCACGCTCAGTATAATCAGTAGTTTTCTTTCTGAAGGAAAATAAGGAGGTTTTCTGAAAAATCCAGCAAAATATATTATCGTTTCCTCCCTTCTCCTCCCCCAGACTCTCCACCCAAGCAGTATTTTGCATCTGTAACCACACACAGATGAAGAAGCTTCTACTCCCCAGCAAAGCAAGTCCTTCACAAAGGGGAATTTTAAAGAGGAATGGGAGAACATAGCAACACCATTTTAGTAAAATCCTTTACTTCTATCAGCTCTAGAGGCCAATGTTAAGCACAGAACATAATAAGGAATAGGAATATCACAACATTTTAGCAAATAAAGGAATTTTTCCACCATGAATCAAGGGATCACGATGGGCCATGTGAATAATTATTATGTTTTGTTACTGCAGCCTCAATTCCTGTTCTGCTTCTCTGCATTTCCCCCAGTACGTGACATCCTTCTGATCCCCTTCCCTAAGTGACATCTGGCACACTCTTCTTCACAGTTGAGCTTGACTAGCTTGGAAAGCGTGTCTGTCATTCCATTCTTGCTTTGCTACCTCCACAGGCTTTTTCATTATCTTCAGTGAAACTTTTCATAAAAGGACTGCTGAGGGCTTGATTTCAGCTGAGGTTCTGCCACCAGGTGAAGTTTGGACATTTCTTACAGCCTTGGTGTAAAATGAGAGACTGTATCAGGGTTCCTCTCCTTTTTCATTTTTAACTCTCTCCAGGATATCAATTAATTGTTTCTCAAATGACCTCAATGTTTTGGCTCCAACTCTACAAGCCTGTCTCCAAGGCTATCCTTCATAGTTATGAGTTTTCTGACATCTGTGTTAAATTTTTTCAAAGAATTACTATTCCTTTGTGCCCTCTTGACCTATTTCAGTATACACAATGATAATTATAAGTCTCTCCCTAATTAAAAGTGACTACCACCATATATTTAAATAACACATATTCTTACTGTGACAAATGCAGCAATGTTCCCAATGCTTTAACCTTAGATTACACATTTAAAAGAAGCCGAGTGAGCAGAACATCTTCTTGTACAAGCTTGAGAAACTTTTTTCAGACTTTTTCTAGCAAACCTTTATCAGGGAGCTACGCCAGTCATTGTTCTCATCAGCTTCAGTGGTTATCTTCTAGAATAAACTCAATGATAGTTGTGTAGCCTGATTTCACCAATTTATTTTTAACTGAAGCTTTTTAGATTGCCTTAGTCTATTTATCCGAGACATGGCTTTCTTCCTGTTCTTTAAGTGCCAAGAGTTGAACAGCTTCTTTATTCTTCAGTGCCAAATGATGCAATTTCTCTTATATGATGGTCAGAGGTCATTCTGCCCAGTAGCACGAAGCTGATGTCTGCTGTGTACCCACAGCTCTTACTGCCACCCTTTAATTACAGATTTCTGCTTTATGTATATTTGAAACGCATACCTCAAGTTACTTCTACAAGTAGCTATGTTGTCCATCAGGTGTCTGTAAACTATTTTGTATGTTTACCTGACCCTATAAATAACACAGTCCAGCGGCTGTGTGAGTATATACTGGAACTACACAAGAGGGATTTCAAGATCAGTATGAAAATGGCAACGTAGCAACTTAAAAGAACTGCAGTGCATCCATCTTTCAGCTGATCGTTCATTCATTGCAATTTGAATATATTTAATATAAATTTATCCTGCCGCACACAGCCATGGAGGTGGCTGTGGTTGTACCACACAGAAACTAGCTTTACCTAGCTCCTGCCGCGTTGTCATTCTCTAGCTGTCGGACGAGGAGCTTGGCGATGGCAGTGAAGCTGTTGCTCATGCGGTAGATGTCTCTGCTCTGGGTGCCCAAGATACTCGAGAAGGTGTCGGTGAGACTCTTAATTTCCAGCAAAAGAATATGGTGAAATGAGTGCTCCATGTTGGCCAGCTGGTTCACTAAATACATCAGGCATATTCTGGCTTGCTCCTGGACAACACAAGGAAATAAGAACAATTTTAAACAAATGAATTCATTGTTTCCTTGTGCAAAGGAGGTTTGTGTGCAGGCTGCTGACTAAAACACTGTCATCGGGGAGTAGTGGCTAGCCACGATAACTAACAAAAAGGCAACTGTGTCAAACACAGAGTTTATTTTTTGTGTCCTACTGACGTTACGTTTAGTCCTCTTGGTATTACCTAACCCGCCAAGTTCAGTACACCTTGTCTCCTCCTCAAACCTAGAAGAGCCTCTCTGAAGGGCCCTGCACTGCTCGAGGGTGGCGGGTCAGCCCGGCTCAGTGATCAGAGCAGCGGCAGCAGAGCTCGCTCCCTTTTCATCTTAGATGAGCCTGGCCAAGCTACTTTACCCCCCCATACTCAGTTTCTGTGCCCTTCTTTTTGCTTTATCCTGTGCCGTTTGAGAGGCAAACTCTCTCACAAGGGACCAAGTGCTCATGCACGCTGCTCCAGCCCTCAGGACCTTCCCTCTCCCCCAGGGTTGTTCTCCCGGCGGCCACCCCCGGCCCCTTGCAGGTTGAGCTCACCGAGGCATTAGCACGGACACAGACACGTTCTAACCTGTGGGCAGAGCTCAGCTCAAACACCCTGCGGCTCGGGTCTTCGCTGGTTTGTGGCACTGCATGGCCCACGCCTGACTGTGGCTTTGTGCCTTCAGTACAGCCTTGTCGTACTAAGAGGCTAACGCCCAGATTTTTGCGTTGTCCCTGCTACTCTCCACAACCACAAGCAATCAAGGGTCACCAGGCAATTGCAGTGAACGCTGCGTATGCCGTTAGCTGTTACAAACACTCTGCCAGGTCCATAAAACATTTCCCAATCGCAACCTCCTTCCCTGGACCTGCTGGGTGTTGCTATATTTGGTGGTGTCGCCTAAGAGCCTGTCGTCACCGGAGCTCCCCAGAGCGAGCCGGACTCCCCCAGCACAGCGCCGGCAGAGGAGCCGGGGCAGCGGCAGAAGCAGGGGAACTATCAGCATCTCTTCTTGCTAATGGCGAGAGGTTAAAGGACCTCGTAAATCACAAGGGTTCTCTCCTTTCATAGCAATTCATTTAGGAGCAACACCCAGATTAGACCCGTGACTAACACTGCAACAAAGAGAAGTTTAAAATGAGATTTCGCTTTGAGATCCCCTCGCGCGCGATAAGGTGCTGTCCGGCAGCGGTATCCATCACTGCCAAGGCACTGAAGTCTGATATGCCCTCTGTAGCCAAAGTTTTGCTAGCCAGTTTTTCAGGGGGATGTGAGCTCGCCAATTTATCAGCGAGATCACTTCCCCCACAGATTGGGATTAAAGGGGCTGTTTCAGATCATAATATTAAACATGCAAATATTTTCTAGCAAAGGTACTTTATCATCTCTGCTTGGCAAAGGCACACAATTCCAGTTCCAACTATTTATGTATGTACGTGTGCAAATTCTCAGAAAACCCCCAAAGGTGAAGAAATGCTTAGGATTCCTCTGTTTTAATTGTCTTAAGTGTATCAGGTTCCACAGACCTAAAAATATCTAAGTGGAAAAAGAAGCAGAGAAAGCAGCAATTAACTCAGGAGCTCATCCCAGATCCCCCACTGGGGTAACTGGGTAAGGCTCCACTCAGGGATGCCTACGTGGGACTCAGCAGATTGTTACAGAAACTGGGAGATATTTTGCTTTTAGAGCCTGTGCTGAAAAGCAAGTAAAGGCAAAATAAAAAATTCTCTTCTTCCCAAGGGTTAGCAGAGAAGGAGGGAAGTCGTGTGCCATACACATACTCCAAACACTGCAGGGCAGTAACATTATTACCTCCTCTCTTCTGGGACCTCATAACAGGAGAGTAAAAATTGCTGAAAGTTTGATTCCAAATACAGCTGGGCTATAAAAATACACGGGGGACTTTGGTAGAACATGGCCTGAGCATCACAAGCGAGACATTTTTTGAAGAAAAAGTCAACTTATTTCAAACAAAAGAGGATCTGCTACACCGTGCCATGACAGAGATAAATGAGCAAAGCGCATCAGACAAATTGCTTCCCTTCAGCCATATGGGCAAAAACTACAGCTCTGTCCTCGAATGGGCTGGGATGGTGTGACAGAATGAGCTTTTTTTCTCAATGGCTTGAAAGAAGTTGACTTTTTGTTACATATTCACTAGTTTATTTGGAAGACGATCCTCCCTCCAAGAGATAAACACAGGCTCAATTAACATATAAAACACATTTTTGTTTCCTAAACAAACTGTGCAGCAGACGTAACTGGAAGAGAAGTTTTGACCATTTTCATGTCACTTTGATCCAGCTGGAGTGTCTCCAGCCATGCTGAAGTGCTGCTACTCGCCTGGAGTGAGGCAAAAGAACAATAAACTCTACTGAGTAATATAATATGTAACTGTTATACAAAACAAAATTACAGCAAAATAGCTCAGCATGAAAGCAGTCATTATCCCTGCCACAATTTTTATCCAAAAATTTTCAGAAAGTCTATTTGGATGTACATAATCCACTGGGTTTTTTTAACAATGCTTATTTTATGTATTTGTGTAGTTTTTCATAAGCATCCCTTGCATTTTATGGCATTACATCTGCCAGTAGGTGAAGATCTAAAATACAAGCAATGAGGGGTGGAAAAATACTTTGCTTTACCTTAAAATCAGGTTCAGGAGACTACAAAAAGAGATCACAAGGTTTTCAGAAGCAACTCTGATTTCCAGTGCCTTCAAAACACACAGTTATTGGAAAAAAAGAAATCATGAAAACGTTCAGTTGACCTATGCCCCAAAGATGGTGTTTTGCTTTGCACAAGTTTATGGTTAAGGGACAAGTTCTGATTTCAGCTTCACCCACGAGACCGTCCCTGACATCAACAGAAGCAGCATGTATAAACAAGGAGGCAACCTTTAAAATAAAGGGATCTCTCTTCAGCCAAAGCTCTCATCTCTCCAGGGGTCTGTCTGAACTGCCAAGGTGGAGGAAGCAGTTCAGTGAAAGCACAAGAGGTTGCTTCTAGAAGGCAGCAGAAAGGATCTGCTGCTCATATCTGCAGTCTATACCATAAAGGCCAAGCCTCAATCCTTGCCACCTCTTTCCCCCAAGTAAAACTTCCAAGTGAAATAAAATATCAAGAAATAAAATTCCAACACTGCCGTCGTCGTTTCATTTCCCACGTGTTTTGCTTGGCTGGGAAGGGGATGCCAGTGCTGATTCGCATCTGTAAGTAAGGACTAGCAGCGTATCTTTAACATGGCTCTGTTACAGGAAAAGGAAGACGGGGAGAAGTGACACCAGAGGTTTTCAGGAAGGCATTGCCACGGTGGGCTGCGAGACGAGACCATCAGCAGCGCGTGTGTCCGCAGAGACCATTCTGCTGCTTGCACGTTTCTACTTGGACCCAACCTAAATAAATGAACTGGCTGCAGTAATGTTTGTAACTTAGCAGTTACGCTTAGAGATCAGAGTACTCTTTTTAATTCTTTCTTGTGGGTATGCTCATTGTTATATACTGAGCCTTTAAGATCTGTCCAGCTTTTATGATGCCAGATGTGTTTCTGCTTATTTTATCGCAGGCTGATTGTCTGCATTGCAGTGAGTCATGCCCCATACATCAGAGAAACTCATGGCTCGCTCTTCCTTTCAAGAAGCCTGATCTGCACAGGAGCATGAAGAAACACGACCCGTCTCTTGGCTCAGAATATGGTGGGGGCAAAATCTGCACAAGGAATCGGCAGAGGAAAGCAAATAAAGCATTTATGAGGGAAAAGGAGGACTATGAGAGATCTGCTGTGTTACTAAACACACAAGAGGCACAGGTTCCCTTTGGTCACCACGTCTGGATGCAACCCCAGGCAATTGTGGGCCAATGAATGTCCCGCCAAAGTAGCTCCTCATACCCCCACAAAACTGTGGGCCACAAAACACTCAAGTTCCCTGAAAGAACATAAAAAATCCTTCGGGTAAAGAGGCAAAACTCACAAGAAGAAGGTGAGAAAAAGACCATCAGTTATGTCTGTGAAGGAAGAGAGAAGTTGCTATATGAAAATGCACAGGTGATGAGGGGCAGCAGACTGCATCCCACATCACAATAGCATGCAACACCCAGCCACCACCCACACGTGTTAAGGCTCTTTCTGCACTGTTTATACCAGAGGGAAGAGCCAAAGCGGCAGCGTGGCACTGCCAAAAGCACATCCAGATCCTTCAGATCCAGTGGGGGGATCCCACAGGGTGCGTAACCTGGGGCCGGGTGGCAGCGCTGTGCAAGCCTGGCACTGACGTCAGGAGCCTCACGGACCAGTAAAGCTCAAAGGTGACTGCCGAAACGAAATCAGTTCACCGGAGCGCTGGTACCTACTTAGATATTTCAATCATGGCAGATCTTCCATAATCCAGAAGCATTCATGCTTTCTCTCTTTTCAGAAAGCAAAACAAGGGGAGGAGCCACTCGTCTCACGTTGGAACGTTCACCTCTGCCACCCCTCGCGTGTTGTTTTTATCAATGTTTTTGAGTATCTAGTGCAAGGTCTCCAGGCTGCCACTAGAAGAGAGCCCGGAACAAGCAGATGACAAGCGTGCCATCTCCGCAAACACGCAGCACTCGTGGCAGCAGAGCGGGCTGGAATGCACTCTGCTGCCAAGTCAGCAGCTTGCAGCATCTTCGAAAAATAAGACATATGACAGAGGACATAACGCCAGTTTGACACTTCTAAACGAGAGATTGGAGATTAATTATTCAACGCAGGCTTGCTCAGGCTGCACGTGCAACGCTTGGTAGCTACGTGTATCCGCACAAACCAGCTGATTAACAAACACAAGAATAAAACTTTCTGCAAATTGTTTCTTTGTAAACTGTCTGTAGTCTATAATTTCCAACAATATATGAAATATAACATGTCCAGTTAGTTCCTTGCTTATTCTTGGTATTGGTATAAAACAATAACAACAAAAGGCAAAATAAATTCAGTCGCTTTTAAGCAGCAGAAAGGGGCCTCAGAGACACTCCCATGGGAAGAGCTGGTTCAACACACTACAATACAGAATCAGAAATAAATCCCTGAATTCTGAGGCCAGCTGTGCTCATCTAAGGGTTAGCTAGTTATAACCTGTAATGCTTCTAGATGTTGACTCTTAAGTAGTAAAAGCAGAACTCAATGTCATCGGCTGCAGTTCCTATAAAGGTAAACTTTGCTGAAGTGATGTAAGTAAACAAGGAGAGAACAACCACCTTCATTTGGCTCACAGTCTTCCTCCCTTTGACTCCGCTGGAGGCCAGTTTGGAGTGAGGATGACCAAAAAGTCTGACGCAGGAAGGCAAAACGTACAGTGAAATCTCTAGCCTTTATGCAAACTCCAGTTGACAGGATCACTGAAAGGACATAGAAACTGTGGGATTCAGCTCTTTGCTGAAATAAATTCTCCAGGTTACTGTACGGTATCAGTGCCACACTTCAGCAAATGGTTAGATTTATTACATACCGTTCATTTGCTGCTATATAATCGAGTTTTGTCCCAGCCATAAAAAATTGAATTATTTAGCAGAAACTCTTTAAGTTCAGCAGAACATTATTTTTGCCTTTACAGAATGGTGATGTGAGGTGGAAGGAAAATATCTATTAACAGTGGTGAAAGACACATTAACTCATACCTGGGAATGAAAATAAAAATCTCATTAGAAATCATGATGTGTCATAAGTCTAACCAGTTGGGTGGCCTCAGGACACGCAAGGCCTTGAGCAATCGGGTAGTTTACAAGCTCGTGGTGGTAATCTCCTCCAGGGTGTATTTTTAGGAGCAGGGGATAGCAGCAGGGTAAGATGGGTCTTACTGGGGTCTAGGGCATCTCCTGGGCCCAGCGGGACAGGGCTAACACGGGACCTACATGAGCAGCATCCCTGCTGTTGGACTCTTGGGTTGCCCAACAGAGCTGGGATTCTGGGGAGGGCAGAGGGCTCTGGGAGCTGCCCGATGGTTTTGGTATACACAGTGTGTTTGAGTCTGGTCATGGCACCTGGATTAGGTGAACATCGCTCCCGCATCCAGACCGCACAGTTCTGACTAAAGCAAAAAACTTCAATGCAAAGTCATTACGCTGCCATGAAACTCCCATAATTTTTTTAGGAGTTTGTCACTGTAAATCCTTTTCAGGCATAATGTTCCCATTGGGTTAGATCCCGAACTAAGATGTGGTGAGGATTAAGCCCAGCATCACCACCGAGTGTTTTCATTATAAAGACATTTGTCTGAAGTATCCAATTAACTATGGCTACAAAGCCAAAAAAATCTGTATTACACTATACGAGAAAGTTCATATTTCACTGCATGATTACAACATTCCTGAAGGTTAAATGCAACTAAAATATGATATCATACAAAGGGTGTGCAAAGTATGTTTTCCTTTCTCTCTGCCTTTCATTTCACATATAGGTACACGGCAACCTAACTTAGCTAAGCCCCCGGGATCACGACAGTTATGCGCTTTTACCCAATAGGAGTTTTAACCATTCCATAAAAAGACAATTTGTATAAACAGAGCGCATACGTGCACAGACCAGATACAGAGTAAATAATGATTTTATATTTATCTTTACAGTTATGAGAATTTAAATATTTCTTTTTCACACTCAATTTCTTCTAGAAAGTTTCCTTCTTTCCCACTAACCTGAACCCCATTTCTGCAGAGACCCTTTACTACGTGACTGCTCCGTGGTTAGAAGATCTAAGGGCAGTCTTAGTCACCAAAATACCACATCTGATTTTTGTGGTACTTGCTCTCCTAGCCACGCTGGTATTACAGTCTAGACCTATGGTGGTCTCACGACCAGATGTACCTTCTGGTAGGGCGATCTGGTTACTTGTGAAGAAAAGAATACTTAGATGTATTACTTTATGCAAGATCTAGAAAAAAAAAACCCCAACAACCCAAACATCAAAACAACCCAACCTTAAAACCAAGCAACCCACTTGTTTTTAAACTTACCTCATCAATATGTCCAACAGCTCCAAAGACCTTTGCTGTTTGCCCAATCAAACCTGGAAAACTCTCACCAATTTCTTTCAGCATTGGAAGAAAAGGGGCTAAGGCTGTCGGTTCATAGCTGGATATTTCTAGAAGTATGTTTAGAATAATGTCACTGTGGCTAGGGTCTCTCAAGTGTCCAAACAGAAATGGAATACACTCTTTCAGCACCTATTAAAAAAATCAGGCAGAAGCAAGGTGTGAATATAGCTGTCAGTTGTGAACGCATATAACCAAAAGGAGTCCTGTACGCTGGAGTGATAAAAATAAAATCAGTTTTCCACTCTTGCTGACCTTTGCACAGAGCTATTGCTGAGGTCAATCGAAGTTCAGCTCAACATATGGAATAAGGGTAGGCTGTAGCCCTAAAATATTGCAGTTATGCATATATAAGTAAGGAAATGCCCAATTGTTAAAAAAGACAAAAAAAATCTTACCAAATATTTCCATTGCTCTGGGCCAGTCCTGTACTTTATTGATTAAAATAAGATAAGACTTAGCCTTCCCCAATGATACAGTAAAGTACTAGTAGAAATTTTTGGTTTCCACTGGAAACTAAATAACGTGACAAGGTTAATAGCTGGAACAAAGGAAAAAATAAGAGGCAAATCCTCATCGCTCAAAAAAATGCTGTAGGCAAGATGTCATTTCTTATAACAACACAATTTTCAAGAGGCTGAGGGTGTAGTCCTTAAAATCATCTTACAAACAGGATGCAGTGTATACAACTATCTACCGAACGGTTATTTTTCATATAAACACACGTGCACACTCACACACCCACCTCTGATTCAGTGAAACTTTTGCATCTGTGTAAAGACATTTCAAGACAGAAATGGGGCATAAAGTGACCTGCTCTTCCGTTATTTTTTTGGATTATCAGTTTGAGCAAGTTGACACTTATCACTCTGGCAAAATACTGCAGGTGGGTGGCTGAATAAATTGTTAGTAGGAATTAATGGTAATAATAAAGAGAATCCAAACCAACTTCAGACGTGCCAGCTCCAGCGTGGAGCCTGCAATAGCCAGTGGTGCACCCCAGCTCCCTCGGCTGACGAGTGCCTTGCTTCCAAAAGGAGCTCCATTTCATCTGGGACTGTGTACTACGATAAAAATTCCTCAGGTACCTGGGGGAACAGTGCTAACTACTGTTAATTTTTTTTTCCCAAAGATTCTATGAATTTCATGAATTCACAAAGTAGGTCGTTTTGTGCCTTGTTCTACTGTGCTGGGTGCTGTCAATGACACGCAGTTTCCAAAGCATGATATGCCTTGCCTTAATTAATCTCCAGCTCACTCCCAATTAATTCCTAACTCATTTTGATTTTCCTTAATATGTAGTTCAATACAGTTCATATGTTCTAACGGAACCATAGCTATGGGAATTCATACTCAGCTGACAGAGCAAGAGCCAAAAAAGTTGAAAACAGTTCTGGTTTAACATAAACTTTTTGGTCCAGCAGAGTCATTGTTATGCTCTCTTTATGATTAAATGGAGAATTTGGAATGGAATGAAAGAATTCACGGGGAATTAGCATAGGAAGGCACTGTCATGCATGTTATGGGACTCCTCACTGTTGGGAGAGCAGCTAGCAGACAGACCTTGCCAAGTCATCTGAAACAAATAAAACTCCTCCAAAAGGAGGTGCAGCATTTAGCAGTAAGATCTTCCAAACGCTGTTTTACCCCCAGTTCTTTCTTCCTAGCCACGATCTGGAGGAGCCTGAGGAGGTGGTGGTGTTCGGCTTGATCCAGCTGAGCCATCAGTGCCACCAGCTCTCTCAGGTGGAGGTTTATCGCCTGCGGCCGCTTCTCGTACAGAGCAGGCAGGACACGCAGCAGCAGCGAGTTCCCTGAGAACAGAGGAAATGAGAGGGCAGTGACTTGCCGCATGTCCATACCCTCCAGCTGGAGAGAGCCCTAGAAAAGTCAGCACACACCTGGAGACACCAGCTTTATTTAAGAGTCATCAGTACAAAATCAGGGAGGCATAAAGCGCACTGTAGAAAAATATATACTGGGCCAAGAAGCCCAATAAATAGCCTAAAGAGAATGAAATATTGCAGGTATAATGAAGTAGGTTTAAAAAGAATAATAAAAGAAAGTCCTACTAATTATAATTTTCATTCTCAAGTACGATATCATGAGAAGGCTGCCTAATGAGCTTTCAGATTAGGATGATACTCTGTTAAATCCTAAACCAAACTAACTGCGATTTAAATTAATTAAAAAAAAGAAAAAAAGGAAGAAGGCTAGAAAAGACATAAAAGTTATACTTCCTTTGTTGAGATTCAGACTTTCAATTTAAATAAGCAGCATGTGGAAAGAATAGCTGGTTATTAAGAGAACTAAATACGCATGACAGTAAATTTGAACATAAATAGTTAAGGATGCCATTTCCAGGAATAGAAAGGAGCCAGAGAGAGTCAACTGCAGACAGACAAAGATATGCAAAACCCCTCTCTCACACGTTTCCTTAAGATGTCTGCGCATAATTCAATTTGAAGCCCAGGCTCATACCAAAATATATAACTTCACGTTGCTGTACATGCCTGCCTCAATATATTTAAAGTTTCACTTGAACAACATATGGAAAACATCTGCCTATTGCAATGTAGTGTGGCTCCTTTTTGTAAACCCTTGAAAGTCCTTAAGGTCTCTTTGGATTTGGTTTCCAATAGGAACTAGCTCTCTGGACTGCTGCTTTTTTCTCCCATCTAAATCTGAGCTGTGTAATTTTGGAAGATAAGCAGGTCACTTCATGGCTGGTAGAAAAAGGATAGCTGGGTTCAGCCTGGACCACATCGTGCTCTTGCCAGACACAGAAAACGCACCCCAAGACACCGTTAGGCCTCGCAACGTCACCTCTGAGCCAAGTAACTCACGTCTAATTCATCGCAGGCTCAGACAACTTTTAGTCGAGCAGCTTGTAACGATCCCCAAGGGGTCCTTCCGCTTCGGAGGAGTGCCTCCACACTTCTGCATCCTACCCAAAGCAGTTACTCTGCTTGAGGAATCGTTGGCAGCTCCGAGCCCTCCGTACCACCTCTGCAGCGCTAACGGCAAGGGTCAGACCCAGCCTCTAATCCCACGGACGGGGCAAATTTCTGTCTTGTTTTCTATATATAAAGCACAAAGGCCAGTTGCAAAGGGAAGATATTTGCTGAGGAATTACTCTAAACAAATTCACAAGCTGTTCAGTTTTGGCTATTTTCTAGCCAATTTTTTTTGTGCAAATATCTTCCTGATGTTACAAGTCAGTGTGTAAAAAAGTGTCACTTCTTTTTATGTGTCACTATCGTACCATGGGATTCATGCAAAGCACTAACTCACCCCAAATTAGAACCAAAATGGTGAGAGGATGTATTTACTGAACTTTTCTAGAGTCACATCCGAGTTCCAAACTGAACAATTTTGTAACTGAATACACTAAAACTTATTTTCTTCTCCAGATAGTTTAGTGCTTACAGAAATAAGTCCTTTCTTTGCACTTGCACATGTTTAGCTTCCACTGGAAGTTTTCTGCCCATATGGAACAGAGCCCTTAAGCTCCAGTCAAATTTCAGCAATAGTAACAATTGCAAAAGATGAAATTCCCATGTTCCTGGAGAGGCAAAATTCATCTCAGCTGCAAAAATGCAGAGGGAAGGAATTCAGCAGAGACTAACAAAAACGAGCAGCTTTAAACAAGGAAAACCAGCCCTGAACCTGAGGCATGCTATTGCCTAAGCTGGGATGTCACAGATAGGAAGGTATCTGGAGAGTAAGACTAAGTATTCAATGTGAGGAAAACAAGCATTTAAAGTATTGGATGTATTAGAGGAGTGATACCATTCGTCATGACACAACACGGTGGATTGCAGCCACGAAACTTCTCTGAACAAAAATACGTTGTACAAATGGGAATTTGGGCAGTTTCCCACAGCAAACATTGCTGGGTTTACATTTGCTAACCAAGAGAAATGAAAAGCCAAGGCAATTTAGAAGCAACCCCATCACATTGATATTTAAGTGACCTCACTGACGTGGAATTGCTTTTAATTGAATAACCTGTGTTTACAAACTCATAAACAATCCAAGCAGACACCGCAGTTTGTGTCTGTTCTTCATAAAACTTAAGAAAGGTCACAAAGCACAACCCAAATCACTATTTTCTTGTCTTTTCATGTTTCAAGCTAGCTCTGAGTACCTCTTGTAATTTGTTTGTCATGTCTTTTCGGTTTATAAGGCATTTATGCACATGCAGCTCACCAACCTTTTGATTCTCAGTGCTCAGTCAGAGGTGATATTGTGCCCGTTCCCAAGTAATTTCCTTTCTTCCATCTTGCTTCATCTGTCTCAGTCTAAACTAAGAGCCTAAAAAGTGAGTTTGTTCTCCCGGAATGGAAAAACATTATACTCAACTCCTTAAACCTTCTCTCCCTCTTCCTTCCTCTACCACCCTTAACCCCAATACTTTCCAGATTAGATTTTTTCAGCCTTTCCAAGCAGACCACACACTGGGAATTATGCAAGTCAGGAAAAGACTAACGGTACAGTTGGGGCCACTCGCTGGCTTTGCACGGCTGGCTGCAAGTCAGGCAGGGAGGATGCAGCCAGGACAACCCCAACCAGGACCATGCCCCTGACACACTTTGGCCACGCTCCCTGCGCACACAACGAGCACCAAAGGTCACCTCGTGCTCAGTCTCTGCGCTGCCCAATCCAGAAGCAGAGAGCTTGGGGAATTAAAAAAATATAAAATAAATAAATAAATAAATAAATAAATAAGGGAAAGAGCCTGGTAGCATGCTGCAAACTAACGTGGACAGGAGGAGCTCTCGATGCCATACAGTGGTGTCTTAACATTCACTCCACATTGAGTATTCAAAGATAAAAGCCTGTGCATCTAGTTTTTTCCCCCAAACGACTTAAAAGTTAAGCACACACCTCCTCGAAAACTCTTGCCTCTACTTCACCAAACTTTTGAGGTTTCTAACACATCGCCTCGACATTATTACTTACTATTTGTGTTTGCAGGAGAGCAGCTGTAGGCCCCACTGTGGCAGGAACCCCCTGTACACATCGAATGAATCAGTGAGACAGCGTGGCACCTAGGAATTGCAGAGTGCCGTGGCCAGCAAGCCCAATGCCCAGGTAGTCCAGGTTTGCCCAAGCAAGGCTGAGCACTGGGAGGCAGCTGGTGCAGCAGCACCGGGCTCTCGGCAGTTTTCTGAGCGCCCCAAAGCATCAGGCAGCCCTGGGGTGCTAGGAGCAAGCCTGGAGGAGTCAGGAGCAGGCTGGGGACCCTCCGGCTTTACTTCCCTCCTCAGTCAAAAGGCAACACCTGAGAAGTGCCTCTTGGTTTGCGCTGCGGGAGGGAGGAAATGGTTGAGGCCACGGATTCCATCTCAACTGCCTCGCGTGGTCGCACCTCCCGCTCCCGGCCCAGGTGGCGGAGGCTGAACGAGCAAGAACAGGGGCCCAAGGACCTTGTCACACACCCCTGAGTGCAGTGCTAAGGGCTAAAGCAGAGACTCAAACGGAAAGGGAACACAGATTGCAAGTCAGATGCAATTATGGGTTGGGGTTTTTTGCTATTCTCTGAATATTTCATAGCTAATATCCAATTTGTACCATATTACCCCATATCTCACCTAAACAACGCATCTCAGAAATAACGGCCCATCGAAGGGATAAGATTTCAGAATTTAAAGCAGATTAACACCAGTAACAATAATACTTAGCACTAGATTAATGTCTAATCCAAGAGTCCCTTGTTTCGCTTTTTTGTTTTTTCCTCAAAGTTAACAGAAACAACTCTAATCATGCAGCTGCCAATCTACATGCTCCTGAAACAAAATATTAGTGGTAGCGTATTATCCACATAGTTATGATGTTGTTATTGGTAATGAGGGCTAGAAAAGCAAAACCTTAACAAGCTGTCTTTGTGAATTCTCCTTTACTGCTTAAAGCAGTAAACTGTTAGGATATAATAGAAGTTTTTATATATAACCACCAAAAAAGCTACAATATTTAGGTTAAACCACCCTCACGTATCCAAATCAACCCTAGGTATGTTTATTTTTCTACCAGTCCCCTCCAGAGCCCTGGCATGTACCAACTACAAAATGGGTTTTGCAGAGGACGCTTTCCTGTCCACAAATAACACAAAATAACACAAAACAACTGACAAAGCCAGTGCTTGTAGGCAGCAAGCTCCAAGTGACTGCAGCCCCCGCCCTCACTCCCGCATCGCCGCTCCCGGAGGGGAAGCGGCAGTGCACAAGAGCAGCTTTCCCCGTTTCTTCCCCTCCATGAGTCAGTTCATCTCCCCCCAGTGCAAACCTGGAAGGCTGGAGTGGAGAGAGCTGCACGCCCCCTCCTCCTCTCAGCCAAAACCAACAGCAGAAGTGCTCTTATTACAGCACTGGCACCAGCACTGCTCATTCATTCAAGCCGAGGCGCTCGGAGCGTTTATTAGGGGCTCGCCGCGTCTCGCTCGCACTCTCGTCTCCGCTGCAGTCTGACTCTGACTTTAGCTCCAGACAGCCCAGCTATTCTCAGGAAGCAGCTCGAGAATGTGGCCCCAAGAAATACTTTCTCTCCTTACGCTGTTCTGTGTTTTCAGGGCTTCTGTTTCTGTTTTGGAGGAAGATGAGGACTATGATCTCATGTATGTGAATCTGGATAATGAAATTGAAGGTCCAGTTCTCGGTACTGAGGAAAGTAAGTAGAATTAAACTAAATTTGTGTTAAGGACAGAATTGCATTCTTTGTTGTGTAGCTCTTGTAGCAGTTATTATTACAAACATAATTTATTTTTTTTTTTCCCCCCAGAGGAAGCAGCATGTGGCTTGTACCAGTAGATTAC